AGTTCTCCTTCCTGGATGCTATACACACACACACACACACACACACACACACACACACACACACACACTGGTAATACGCAAATTAGCCGGGTATCACAACTGGCTCAGGAAGAGGCTGCATCACAACCACTCAGGAAGAGCTGAGCCGGCAGATGGGCAGGAGTGCACTGTGTGCTGCCCCCAGCCCCAGCGGACACACACCAGGGGTGGAAACATGCTCTGAGCAGCCTTAGCGTGGCTCAGATCACACCCCTGGTGGGTGGTGGCAGCAGCTGGAACAAAGCAGCCCTGGTCCCAGGTGCCTGGCAGTGGTAGGAGCAAAGCAGCCCGGGGCCCAGGTGGCAGCAGCTAGAGTGAAGTGGCCCAGGTCCTGGGTGCCAGAGGGAAGCCAGTGCCAGCAGCCAGGGGGAGGAAGGTCATTTCTTGCACGAATCTTTGTGCATCAGGCCTCTAGTATAAAAATAAAAATAACTATATAATATATGCTCATGGTAAAAAATTCAAACACTGCTAAAAGGTGTAATGAAATGAAAGAATCTCCCTTTAACGTCTCTCTGGCCCCCCATTTGCACTCTCCATTGATAATTAATTCCTGCTAATCAATCTGTGTTTATATTTTTTGAAGTTTGCAATGCATATGCATATATGTTAATTTCTAAAGTAGCTTTCTTTTAAAAAGGCTTTTCTTCCCACAGATAGCATTGAATATTATCCTCGTTTCTTCTTTGTTTCTTCCTTTACTTTTCATATGACATCTTCTTATCAGTCATTCTTTTTGCCACAATTTCTAGAGTATCTACTATGTACCATGAAGTGTGAGAGAACAGGAAATACTAAAGAAGATACAATGAAAAAAGTTCTTGCCCTGACAAGTGTGGCTCAGTTGGTTGGCCTTCATCTGATGATTATTGGTTTGATTCCTGGTCAGGGCACATGCCTTGGGTTGTGGGCTCCATTCTCAGTCAGGGGAATGCAGGAGGCATTGTATTTATGTTGTTCTCTCACATCACATCAATGTTTCTTTCTCTCTAAAGACCAATAAACTATTCTTAAAAAGAAAATAGTTCTTGCCCTCATGGAGCGTATAGCTCTTCATTTTTAATTTTATTAGCATTATTCCTATATTTCTCTTTTGATTAAACTTCTAACTTTGATTTGTTAACTGCAATGATAATTATGTGTAGAATACTTTGGAGTTGTTATATATATATATATATATATATATATATATATATATCGTACAAACATATTTGATGTTAGTAATTCTTTTGCAGTTAATTTGCAGTCTAATTGGTATTTTCATATATAGTATGTTCCTGAAGTTTTTCTGTTTGTATCTTGGTGGGTTATGATCTTTATCTTTGGTGTCAATATTCATTGGATCATCAGGTACTAATGAAGTGCTTGCTTTTTATACACATACTAGAGGCCTGGTGCACGATTCCCTGCATGGGTGAGGTCCCAGGGGGGGTGGGGGGTGGTCGGCCAGGACACTATTGGCCCTTTAGTCAGGCGGTGGGACGTTCTTTCAGGCCTGAGATCTGAATCTGTCCCACTGATATTGTTGCCGATTATTGGGAGCCATCTGGTGGCCACTTTTATATTGTTTCTTCCTTGCGAAGTGTCTAGATAGGGGAAGTGGCCATGGTGCCCAAGGCTGACTTCCAGGAAGTCAGCCATGCTGTTGGGATTGTGTGCCAGAGGTGCTGGACTACCAGTGGTGTGTGGCCTGTTCTCTGAAGATTAGACCTGCAGGACTACTGAGGAAGTGAGTGGCTGCTGGGCCACCGGCAGGGGTTGTTCAGCTGAGTGGCGCTCCCACTGTGGGAGTACACGGACCTCGAGGGCCAGCTCCTGCATTGAGCATCTGCTCCCTGGTAGTCAGTGCATGTCATAGTGACCGGTCGTTGTGGTCATTCAGTTGTTTGATCGCTTAGGCTTTTATATGTAACATGGTTATCTCTCTCTCTCTCTCTCTCTCTCTCTCTCTATATATATATATATATATATATATATATATATATATAAAATGTTGGCATATAGTCAACACTATTCTGATATACTTAATTGAACATTTTTATTTCTACCAACACTGATGTTTTTATCACAATAAAAATAAAAATAATCATATTATATTAGGCTTATATAAATGTAGAGACATTCTCTTCTGTGGTATTAACTTCCCTTTTATGTGTGAATGAAGCACTTCTTTCTCCTCTGTCAAATACTGGCAAAGTTCTTTTACACTTCTGCAAATATCAACCTTGTGCATCTTTATTACTTTCTCTTCCTTGTGCTCTGGCACACTGAGCTGTCTTTGTCCAACAGTACAATTTTAACATCTTTTCTTTGGTCCTTCTGGGAAGAACCCATTTCTCTCTTGACGAGATGATATAACAACCCTTAATAATTTCCATACAAAAAGCAAACTATCAGTTTTAGCTCTCCATATGCATTTGTCAAGACACAGCAATTCAGTGTTATTCCAAAGTTCAACTAGTTTATTTGATATCTTTATTTTCTAAAAGCCAATGATATTTTTTTCTTACATACATGTTTCTTTCAGAGAAAATGATTCATGTGATTAGTTCTATAAGCTATTCCATAAATCAAAAAGCATTTTCTATCTTTTGACATATTCTTCCAGGTCAAAGAGCTCACCTTTCTAACTACAAATACCCTCAATTATTTCCTGAGCACAATACTTTTACTTCCTAGATCCACAACCTTTCAACCCAGATTTTTCTTTCTAGACCTCTTCCAGCCCATATTCCCCATTTTAATGGTTCCTTATACTTTGTTCTTGAGAAAACTGCATAGATAGTATTAGTAAACAAAGAGTCTTCCATCATTGTCTTGTTTTCTGGGACATATTTTCTGTTCCTTCAAACTAATAGAATCTGAGCCCTTCTTAAGAATACTACTATCATCATATTTCTCCAAGGAAGGTCATCTTTTGTTCTATCCCACTTCTCCTCACACTAGAACAGGATCTATAGATATTTTCAGACATTCTTGACCTGACTTTTGAAAATCACTGTGTACTAAGTCTTACACATTTGTGATGTCCTATCTCATCCTTCAAACAATGGTTTCTGCCCCCAGGGAGAAATGGTTTATCCTCTCTAATCTAATCTTTGCCATCCTGGAGGACCTCTAGATTAAACATTGAAACAAAACAGGAAAAAAATCTGTGGCATTTCTGCTGTTTGGTGATCACTATTTTTGGTTGCACATCTCAAGCAAGGTTTCATTGACTTCATAAGACTTTCCATTCTCCATTTCTCTGGTCCTTTTCTAGCTTCACTAAACTTCCTTATCATCTCTGCCTAATCTGCATGTGTTCTTTAAAAGTTTTCATATGAAATGATTTATTTTACTTTCAATCTGTAGAGACCCAAATATGAGCAATTACACCAAATGCTTTGATCTTGGTAAAGTAGTAAGTGAGCATTCTGACTTTAGATTAAGGTGAGGCTGATGTACAACTAGATCCTCCTTACAGAGAGGATAGACGGTATTGATTATTTCCAAATACTTTTCTGAAAATTCTACTCTTGTCCAGTTTTTCTGCTCATTCTTAATGGGGATCTCATTTGAACTCTCTTTCAGCCTCCTCATCATCCCGTCCTGCCAGAATGAGCTACCACATTTGACTAGTGCAAACTGTCATACTCAACATGGGTCTCTACTGCCCTCTAATGCCCACTATAAGAAGTGACCCAGGTGGACAGGTTGAACCTGTGGAAAAAGTTACTGTGAATTAATGACAACCATGGCTGGAGTCCCAATGCCTCACATCCATACTTCTTAAAAATCTCTTACTAACATTATCTATCTATATAATAGAGGAGTTGCAAATTAACCATAATGCCATAATGTCACAACCGAACAGCAGGGACCTGAGGCTGCATGGTGCCTGGCCTGGGCAAGGGACTTCAGGCAGCACCCCTGCCCAGCAGGGCTTGACAGGGGACCTCAGACAGTGCCCCCCACCTGGAGGGGCTTGACAGGGGTGGAGCTGGCCAGGTCTGGGTCTCACCCAATGTGGGTGTGGCTGGCTGGATCTGGGTCTCCTGCGTTTTCAAAGCATATGCAGGTGGTGGACTGAGACTTGACTCTAGGTCCCGTGGTGCACCTCAGACTCTGACAGGAGGGAGATTTTCATATACATTTTACTAATTTTCTTTCTTCTCTGACACTTCTGTTACAGAGAAAGGGCAAATAGCAATATTAAAATATTTCCTCTAATTAATTCCCTTTTAATGTGCATGAACTTCATGTACCAGGCCACTAGAATTTTATAAAATTACAAACTTTGTTATTTTTTGAGGACCATTCCTAGATATGCTGCCTCAATCTCAAATTAATATGCTCACATAGCCAATTGTGTAAGCACTCTCTCTTCTCTTGGAATATCTGTCTTCTCTTTTCACTCTGCCTCTGAAGAAGTGAACCTTCTTTGATCCAAAGAGGAATCCATATTTTAGGGTAGAAAGAGCAGATGGAGAAATAAACAGAAAGAGCAGAAATAGAGGTAAGTTTGGACAGCTCTTTCCATAAATGTATAGCCAATGGGAAGAAACAATGATTAATACTAGAATAAGATAGCATAATTGATAAAAGGGTTTCTTCAGCAAGGAACATTAAAGTTTCTTTGTAAGTTTATAAGAAACCTCTGGTAGAGTAGAAATAATGACTGGAACATGTCCCAGAGCAAACAGCGTATTTTCCTACTTTTCTTTCATCTCATATTTTTCTACTTTTCTTTTCTTGTATCTCCATGCTAAAATATTAAGCACAATGTATTGAATATAAATATGGTCAATAAATATTTCCTCAAATTGTACCAACTGGAAAACATTAGACTGGTCAAATTCTGTAGCTCAAATTATCAAAACTAGGGATCTCTTTAAACATTCATGCTTTTGTCTGAACAGCACTTCCCACCATCTCTTACTTTGGAAGAAAACAGAGCTTAAGGAGAGAAGCTGCCTTACCATCATGGTTTATATCAATCTTATGAAACACCAAGTTGGCAAATTCTTCAAGACTCAGTTTGCTGACCATTAAGGGCTTGTACAGTCTGCAAAGAGAAATTAAATCAGGGAGTTCCACTTGGCTGGAAATAAATACATTTTATGACACTTCTACCCCAATGTGACAGAGTTTGGGGATGTGTACATATCAGTGCTACCTGTTCTAATTGTTAAAAATAAAAGATTACATGCCAGTTCTTAATAGTGAGGCTTGGAAGTTAAATGAACAAAGTACAGTCTGAAGTTCGATTTCATACAGCACAGAGGGATCTGTTCAACATGTTAGGTAGGTCACAAAAGATGCCAAGAGCCCACCAGAGAAAAAACTTGTAGCAGTCACTGTCGTAACAACTGCAGACCCAGAAAACAATGTTTTCCGTTCCAGACCTAATGTCTTTGACCTTATGAATGAACATAAAAGGATGATCTGTAAGTCCCTAAGGCTTCCTTTCTGGCTTCTGACAGTGGAACCTCTTGTCCTTTCTGTCCTTTTATAGATGTTCGACTGGGAAGAGATAGGTATGCCTTGGAAAGACACCGAGTTTCTCTCACACTCTGCCAGCACCTCTTTGTAAAAAGTTTCAGGGGAATCAGGGAAAATGTCACTTCCATTTATCCCCCCACCCCACTCCCTATCCAAGGTGATTAAATTAAATGGCCTATATTTGACATTGAAATTCATAATAAAGTGAAAGAGAGACACACAGAGAGAATAAATTAGAAACACAGAGAGGATAAATTTGAACATAATTATCTTGATTGAACACCAAGGGATCTTTGGAAGCACTGGTGGCAACACATTTCAATTAGAGGGCATGGCCTTAAATATGACTATCTCTTTTTTTACTGCTTCCAAAGCACTACTAGTTTTGAAGCCAGGATTAATCATAATAAATAGTGGAAAAGCACCGCTTGTGGCTTTAGCAAGTCGAGGTCTTACCGTCAAACATAGGGTAATACTTAGAGTGATGGTTACATCTATGGAGCATTTTATTATATGAAGTTTTTAGGGTTTTTCAGTGTCTTAGCAGAGACCCCAACACATAGAAAATGTGGGTATGCCTCCATATTCCCACATCCTGAATTGATACTATACTACAAGTAAGAGTCATAATAAAATATAAAATTTATAGGAGTTGTCCACCACTCATTCTCTGGCAATGTCCGTGAGAGTGAATGCTTGAATAGAAAGTGACAAAGCTTGAGGGGATAATATTTTTGAAAGGAATTGTCAGTGTGCCTGTGTCTTCCCTCTTCTTATAGGAGAAGCATGTGGGGAGAGAGCAAGGAGGCATAGTTTGTTTCCTTCCTCATTTAGCACATGCATTTGGCTGAGCCGTTCTCTGGCCACTCTCTGAGTGGGAGCAGGAGGAGGTGTGAGAGAAATGGAAGCTACAGAGCTCTGACTTGGTACTCTCTTGGTTATCTAGTTTCAGAGCTCCGGATGGCAGATGTCTAAAGTCTACCCTTTTCAGCGCGCCCTCCCACCCCCCACCTCCTTTTTATTACTGAGATTCTCTCTTGCAGTTCTCTAAACATAAGCAGACATTTTTATTTCAGCTGATCCTTCCAGGCTCCTCTACAGCTCCCAGGTATTTCTCAACACATTTACACAATTGGCATCTTGGACTAGACAATTCTCTCTTGTTTAGGATCATCCCCTGCAAAATGCTTTACAGTAGCTCTGGTCTCTAAACATTAAGTGGTGGTAGCACTATACCCTCCCCAGCTCCCCAGCTCCCCAGCTCCCCAGCTCCCCAGCTCCCCAGCTGACAACCAAAATATTCTGTGACATTGCCAACCATCTCCCGGAGAGGAGTGTACAGTCGCTCCTGGTTGAGAGCCATTCTCTCTAGATCTATCTCTAGTTTCCTTCTTTTGAGGTTGCCTCACTTCCCCAGGGGCTCAGCTGGACAAGATCTAAGACAGCGCTAACACAGCTTCCGCTCCCAGTGACCAATATCTGATCCATGGAGAAACCCAGGCATCCTTCATCCCAACAAACTCTAAAACTGCAGGCATTTCCTGAACATCATTCCTCTAACTGCTGCCTGTTCAGATATTTCAGGTCTGACTCAAACACTCAACACTGTGTTCCCACATCACAATGGTCTCCTCAAAACCTCATGCTGTCGATTTTAGGACCTTTATCCAAGAAATCCTTTCCTATAATCCTTCTCACAAATGCTCCTCTTGAGCATTGAAGATCTAACCACTTATATAAATTCTGCCTATAATCTAATTGCTGTATTAGATCTATTAATGCCTAGGCTGAATTCCATTTCCACATTTTGATATCAGGTGTTGAGAGAATTCATATTGTACAGTATGTATTATTTTTTGCCCTGCTGGTTTTTGTTTTTTTTTTTTGCCATAATATAGAAACTTATATTCACAGGCCACTAATTTTTTATAAGTACATATTCCATTCAATTAATTTTAAAAATTTAAACATTTTCCTTTTTCAGGTTGTTTTTGCATTTTTACTTAAGGGATTCTGTGATGTAAGTCATAGAACTTCAATCTTTATGACATTAATGATTCTTTTCCTAACCTAAAGTAACTAATGTTGACTTTAAAATAAAAATTTAGTGGCTAAATGCAAATTACCAAATTTCCAAGAATGTTATAGGCATTTATATTTCCTCCACAATGTTTACGGGTACTCTTCTTATAGTGTCCTTGCCAGAAATACATCTTATTGTTTTTATCTTTATTAATTTAATTAGAGACAAATAGTATCCAATTACTAAATGAATATCTGCTCTGAACTTTTATTATTTTAGTTTCTCTACTTTTTTGTTTTTGTTTGTTTGTTCTCTTCTTAAACACTTTCAGAAAGCGCTGAATTAACTGCCTAGTATTTATCTCTCTCTGACTCATTAAGTTACACATTTTAATTAATGAAAATCTATGTAATTTTCCCATAAAACTTAGACAAAACCCCTTTTATCCTTTAGTTCTTCCTAATTCTTTTGAGACCCTGATAACCCTTTCTCTCCCCTGTGCATACGGCCTGGGGATGCCGTATGCACAGATCCTAGGATAAGAAGCTCTGCTCTGGATACTGCTTTAAGAGGTTTCCCCTAACATTTGTATGCTGTATTAGATGTGCAGTGTTTTTAAAGTAAGTTGGAATATATTTACTTAAGAAAATATTTTCAAATTGATATGGGATTAGGCACTCTCTGTAGAACATTTTAGATTCTTAATTTTGTGTTGCAAAATGCAGAATTTCTGAATTTAGTGCTTATAGAATTTGATTACACAGTGCCCCTTAATACATTTTTGTGAATGATCTATGTGAGATTAAAGTGGAAGCAATAATAGTATTATCATATTTTTTAATTATTTTCATATTTATTAGCCTTACATTTTCTAAAAGTTTTATATTTTAACTACTTTGTCCATTTGAGATATTTAATTAAAATTATAGTTCCAGCCTTCTTTTGCATTTTCACTACTATTTCTGCTATAAATTATGTTTGTAACTCAACTCTTTCGTCTATAAATGAGAGAATTTAGACCAGATTATTTCTAAGACAACTGATTCTAATGCTGACTCTGTTTTACCGTATACTACATTCATGTTTATTTACTTCATATACTCATTTAGATACAGTCTCCCACTTAATCACCTTTTACTTTGAAATCCATATTATCTCATACAATGATAATAACTATTCCCACCCTATTGGTAAAGGGCTGCTAAATTAATAAAAGGACTTACTGAACTTTAGGGATGGAAAGGATTAGGTATTCCTGAACTATCTGTCAGAAATACTTTAGTCAGCTTCCAGAAAGATTAGTCCTCAGGTATCTTTAGTCTTAGTCCATGTCACTTGTTATATAAGCTATAATATCTTCTACATTAGCTGCTCTTTGCAAGACTTTCAGCACCAAAGCAGAGAAAAAAGGTACCGTATTTTCCGGCATATAAGACGACCCCCTAATTTTACAGTTAAAATATAGGTTTAGGCCTATATGCACTGTATAAGACTACCCCCACTTCCAAGGCAACACCAGTTCTTTTTTTAATAGACCGCCTCTCTAACTCAGCCAATCCAAGCAGGCTTTTTATGCATGCAAATTATACATGTTCTGTACCCGAAGCTACACTGTGTTCTAGTAAAAGACCCACTCAGATTGGCCAGAGTCAGAGAGGCGGTCTATTAAAAAAAGAACTGGTGTTGCCTCGGAAGTGGGGGAGTAGCCTTATACAGCGAATATAGGCCTAAACTTATGTTTTAACTGTAAAATTAGGGGTCGTCTTATATGCCGGAAAATACGGTAAGTTGTTTTAGATTGTTAGGTTTATTTCATTTTTCATTTCAATACTCTGCTAAATTTGTGAACTTCAGAGTGGACTACACACAGAAGAAAATGATTTGTAGTTGTATACTCAGTAACCAATAAGATAGTGAAACTTAAATTGTTTCAGCAGTTCCAAATGCATCTCCCAAAATAGCCTATCACATAGCCGTAACCCACTCCATAGGGAGGAAATTGAATTAACTATAACATTCTGCAAAGGGTATTTGACTACTTTGCTCATCATGAAGATGTTCAGCAGTTCCTTTTTGTCAATAGAACCATTTCCATCAGCATCAAACATACAGCTTAAAACACCACTTTAATTTTAGCTCCATTTTCCCTCATACAACTAGATTTACAGCAGCAGTAAACCCTAAAAAGTCAATAAACCCATCTTATGGAGAGTGAGGTGGAAATAGAAACAAATATTTTAAAACAATTGTTTTTTTTATTTGAGAAGTTATCATTTATGAGCAGACTTTTATAATAGTACAATTTAATATAACCCACAAATTTTTAGCATAGAACTTTCTCCTGGTGTTTCATTTAAAAAATAATATATAGGGCCCTGGATGGTGTGGCTCAGTTGATGGAGTATCATCCCATGCAACAAGAAGTCACCAGTTAGATTCCTGATCAGGCCACATGCCTGGGTTCAGGCTCAATTTCCAGTAGGGGGTGGGCAGAAGACAGCTGATCATGTTTCTTTCTTTTATCAATATTTCATTCTCTCTCCCTTTTTCTCTTTAAAAAATAAATTAAAAATAATGATAATATAGCCGAAACCGGTTTGGCTCAATGCATAGAGCGTCGGCTTGGGGACTGAAAGGTCCTGGGTTCGATTCTGGTCAAGGGCATGTACCTTGGTTGCGGGCATATCCCCAGTAGGGGGTGTGCAAGAGGCAGCTGGTCGATGCTTCTCTCTCATCGACGTTCCTAGCTCTCTATCTCTCTCCCTTCCTCTCTGTAAAATATCAATAAAATATATTTTTTTAAAAAATAATGATAATATATAGGTATGTGTATAGGAAAAATGGGTATAAAAAAGGAAATTATTGTAGTAACTTTAATAGGTAGGAAAGTACCTTTTTGAAGAAAATCCCTACTTCTTATACCTAAAAAAAAAAAAAAAAAAAAAAAAAATGGTTCTAAAATGCCATGACAGAATACTGAGCCCTCACCACTTAGCACCTACAGTGGTTGTCTTCTCCTCCGAAAATTCAGGTGTTGCTGTTCACTCAGGGAGAAGACCAGGTACTCATTTTTAGTGGAAGGAAAGCATCTCAAGTTGCCAGATTCTGCACTCCTTTTTAAAGATGCTGGTTGATCATTTTGGACTGCTAAATTCAGGATTACTTTTAAGGGACTAATTTTTGGTGTCAACCAAAATTTATGAGCTTCTTTATTCTAGTAATAGAATAAAAAGCCTGACTCTTAAAATGAGTGCTTTCTATACATCTGTGTGGCATTAAGCTTCCGTTTCTCTGTGCTATGGAAAAAAGATGCTGTAAGCTTTAGAACTCATCACGGTATGTTGTACAAGTGTTTGTGGACATAATAAAAGTTATATGATGCTTCTACTTAAAAGAAAAAGATGTCATATTAGTCCATCTTAGAAAAGATTGTTTAAGGGTTGCAAATTTAGGTAGTTCTTTTATCCTTTTTTAAACTGGTGAAATGTTCTGAAAAAGGCAAAGTCGTATAATTCATAAGAACCATATACTTCAAACTTTGTTCAGCCAAACATTCAACCATCTTAAGAAAGGTGGTCAGCTCTGGTGTGTGACTCACTCTGCTATTTTTCCATGAGTGATAGAATATCCAGCCCAAGACATGCTGTCAGCTGCATTTTCTTTGGAATATTTGGAATGTCAAGTTTTTGTTGTTGTTTTGTTTTTTAATCTTCATTGTTGAAAGTATTCCATATGTACCCTTCCCCACCCCTCCCGCCATTGATCTCTTTCAGCCCACACCCACCCTCCCACCCGTGGCCTTCACCACCCTATTGTCTGTGTTCATGGGTTTTGCGTTTATGCAGACAAGTTCATGGGTTACCATATGCAGCAGCATGGATAGAATGTCATTTTTTACAAAACTGGATGTGACATAAAGTACCCATTTCCCTTGGAAATAAGTGTTTAGACTCATTGGTCTATAAAGTGATATGTGTTTGTCCTGAGGCTAATTCCACCAGATTTCTAAGAAAAGCAACTGAGAAATCAGTAGGTCTGGATGTGAAGCAGAGTCTGTTTGATTGGGTAATGTTTTTGTTTTTTTTTTTTAAGGAAAAAAAAAAAAGCAACAACATCATCTCCGATATTGGAAGCCAATGTGCTAGTCACTCTAGCATTATCTTAAAAATGTATTACATTTTAAAATATTCTTCATGTTGTGAATTTTTTACTTCTAGAGTAAAAAATATGTAAAAAAAAAAAAAAAGCATAAGATATTTTAAAATCATATCACTGTATTTGGGTGTTAGAGGTTTTTGTGTGTGTGTGTGTGTGTGTGTGTGTGTGTGTGTTTAATATATATTTTATTGATTTTTTACAGAGAGGAAGAGAGAGGTATAGAGAGTTAGAAACAACGATGAGAGAGAATCATCGATCAGCTGCCTCTTGCACACCCCCCACCGGGGATGTGCCCACAACCAAGGTACATGCCCTTGACCAGAATCGAATCAGGGACCTTCCAGTTCACAGGTCGATGCACTATCCACTGAGCCAAACTGGTCTCAGTGGGTGTTAGAGTTTTTCATTTTACAATTTAGGCATCTTTACTCTCCTGATAACTTTAATACTTCTGATGAGACTAGAGGCCTGGTGCATGAAACTCATGCATGGGTGTGTGTGTGTGTGTGTGTGTGTGTGTATGTGTGTTCCTCAGCCCAGCCTGCACTCTCTCCAAACTCAGACATCCCTCTTACAATCCAGGATTGCTGGCTCCCAATGGCTCATCTGCCTGCCTGATTGCCCCTAACCACTTCTGCCTGCCAGCCTGATCACCCCCTAACAACTCCCCTGCCAGCCTAATCGATGCCTAACTGTTCCCCTGCCAGCTCAATTGCCCCTAACTGCCCTGCTCTGCCAGCCTAGTAACCCCTAACTGCCCTCCCTTGCTAGCCTGGTCATTCCTAACTGCCCTCCCCTGATGGCCTGGTCACCCCTGTCTTCCCTTGCCAGCCTGGTCTTCCTAACTGCCCTTCCCTGCCAGCCCAGTCACCCCTAACTGTCCTCCCCTGCTGACCTGATCACCCACAACTGCCCTCGCCTGCTGGCCATCTTGTGGCAACCATCTTGTATCCACATGGGGGCAGCCATCTTTGACCACATGGGAGTGGCCTTCTTGTGTATTGGAGTGATAATCAATTTGCATATTACTCTTTTATTAGATAGGATAAGATGTGGGCTAACAGACTGGTGTCTGGTTGAACGAGTCTACAAAAGGAAATTTGCTCAAGTATTTAAAACACTAAGTGATTTTACCTTTTCTCCATCTGCCTTTCCTATTGCCTGTTACCACCACCTTATTAATCCCTAGCAGAGCTGTGGCTGAGACAAGGGGAACATGTTTTATAGAGCTGAAATTTAAGATGACATCAAGATACTGTATCTCCAGATTTGGCAGGTTATGACCATTATTTTTCAGAAACAGAACTGACAGGTGCAGAGGATGTAATCTGGATGGACAGTATCCAACCAGGGACATGTCTGCTACCAGGTCTCCCTACTGTGTCTTTAGAGCTGACCAATCAACACAGCTGTTTCCCAAAGGTAACAGAAGCACCTTCCCTGAAAAGATGGAGTTGGCGAGTTATAAAGTTGATCCTCCAGAGTCCCCATAACAACTTGATATTTTGTGATGTTTGTTTCATTTTTCAAATCCTGCATCAGTGATCACAGTTTTCAGTGTCACCTGCATGATGAATGGCAACAGGCTAGACTGAGCAATGTTGCCGGTAGAACAGTTGGTGTTTTTGATGAGACACAGTGGGTGGGTAGCCCTAGCACCTTCCAATTCAGGCTCTGAAAGCTCTGGGCAAACCGTATCAGGGAGATGAGTATAAATATTTTTATTGTATTGTTTTAAAATGGACTACCTACTTAATCTACTGCCAAAGTTGATTATGAGTTCAAAACCTTTCTACTTAGACAAGTGCAGCCTCTTCAAAAGCTCCTGGAAGAAAAATACTTCCTGTTTGCATTTTGGCATTTTGCTATGTAGTCAAATAAATTACTCCTTATAGTCTGCAGCCAACCTTCTTTCCAATTATCTTTCTGTTAAGATTTTGTAGAAATTTGCATTAGGGAAATGGTCCCAGTAGATGTGATTTAATAACTTGTATTAGTGTTGGAAAGGGGTTTAAGTAAATGCTGTTTTATAAAGCAAAAGAAAAACAAATGATTGTCTTCAGTTAATCTACAGATCTCAAGGATGGGGATAGGGATGGGGGCTGAGTTACAAAGAAGATGAGGTCTCCCTCCAAATGTGAATGAATAGAGAATGCTCCAAAACTTTTCTTAGGAGCAATTCAAAGAAACACTGTTATGTTCATAGTTCTGTAGTTGGGCTACAGAAGTCTCCAGGACACACAAAATTGTCTGGTGATAGCAGAGTGGGGTTCTTAAACTCCCCGTATTAGAATTATGTTGGGACAATGAAATATGCAGATTCCTAAACCCTAACCCCAAACAACAGCATTAAAATTCCTTGGGATGGGGTATAAGAGTCTGTATTTTTAAATGCTCCCAAGATTTGAAAACCATGGACCTAAGCTGTTTTTCTTATCCACATCTTTCTTTGTAGGCAATGTAATCACCTAGCCATCTCTCTAAGTGGCTATTGTGTCACTTATTTTTACATTTATGAAACCTTATAAGACTGATTAGAAAAATTAACTCTGACATTGTCATACAAATACAGTCCAGCAATTAGAAAATAATTTCAAAATAACAGCCAGTCTTTACTTTCATTTCTGGAACAAACACAAGTTGCACAAAATTTATGCATTTCTTCACAAAACCCCTTTCTCTCCCATCTGCTCTTTCATGTGCTCCTTGCTGCTCAGTCTTCAACAATCTCCATAGCCCAATGTCTTCACTGCCAGCCTAGCATGAGAGCATTTCACCCTCTTACTCTACCAATTTTTCTCATTATTCTGCATCACAAAATCCTAGAAAATCAGTTTGGCAATGGTAGGATCCTCTTTAGAGAATGTGAAAAGGTTAGCAAATTAGGCACACAGAAAGCCATTCTATGAGCCTCAGGAATGAAGAATTTGGGAGGATGTATAAAAAAATAATTTTAATCCAACACATTTATAGATTTATACATCTGAGGATGGAGTGGTTTACAGAAGAGTCATAATAGGGGTCAAGATATGGAAACATGATAGTT